CCTAAACTGGGCTGTGTGTTAGTAAAACAGCTATATGTGTCAGGCGAAACGCAGCCATAGATCATGTTGGAGCTTTGCTGTGTTGCTGGGAGGCTGATGTCCCACACTGTTGGACCTGAAGCGAGTAAGCAGTAGCCCCAGCTCAGGTTCCCCAATTTGGCTTCGCTTATGTTGTACTTGGTTTCAGATTTTGTATTAAGGCTTTTTTTTTTAAATCTAAAATAATAAAACCTCTTGATCAATTTAATTTCCTCCCTAGCAGCTTTGATTCTTTCAACTCAACATTTGGTCCATTCTGAAAAGATGCCTGTCTTATGGGAAGAGAATATTTCTAAGGGAAACAAACAGTAACAACGGTTCTTAAAACAATATTGCCTGGAAGGCACTTGCTGTGAGCTCCGTTTAACCGATGTGTGGATGTGTGTCCGTGACTCACTCACCCCAGCCTGCCTGACCGAAAATCCAGGACAGACGGATGAACAACATGACACCCCAGATGTTCAGCATGCATCTCACCTGTGAAACAGAAGAGCGATACGTTTACGTTCTTGTGTTGTCGTGATTCATTATTGTTATTTTTAAGTGAGAGAAGCACCCATATTAGTGACATGCTTAATACTTTTCAACGGTATAACCATATGAAACATATATCTTTTTAAAGCACCAAACATTTTGGGGCTTTTTTATTTTAATTTCCTCCGAGCAACACAAACGATGACCCAGCAGCGCTCACTTGGCCCTTAACACATCAAGCCCCCACGTCACAGTTATGTGAAGCGCCAATGCTTCCATGAAGCACGGGAGACCCGAACCGACCCGGTGTAAACTCACCAGGACGCCCCTTATCCAGCCAAACTTTATTGTTCCTCCCTTGGCGTCTGAAGGAATGGCGGACTCCAGATCGTCAGAGGGGGTCCCATCGCTCCCCTCGTCATCGTCGTTGACGGTGTCCGGCACGGAGATCTCTCCATTCTGCAGCGAAAATGTACAAGCGAATACAAGGTAAAGGAAACATGCAAGTTTCTCTGAATGATAAAACTGGAACACAGTCACGGTTGTGCTGTTGGCATTTTATGTCTTGGTTCATTTTGAAATCATGAGTAGGCGCATCATTATTAGGAATCGGCGATATCTGTTTTTTTGGTTGGCATCCCAGTGATGCACGGCAGTTTACATTTACAGAGACATTACACTACTGTGTGTCCTCTTGACTGAATATGAAAGAACACGACAGACCTCATTTGACCTCCTTTGCTCTGCTATTTTATTTAATTTTATTTACTGTACTGCTGCTATTGCACACACGTTTCCCCTTGGAAATCTATCTATCTATGCATGATTAGAGATGACAGAACATTTTAGATGGATGACTTTCTGACTAAATCGTCTGTCCAGAATCTTCTGACTCTTAAAACTGCGATAGTCGGTCTCAGATATAACTTTTATAACAAGTTTCACGAGTCCTTGAGCAAAAATGTTATGACTGAACTGTGGACACTGGAGATGACATTTGAATGATCAACAACTGTAAAAGATCTGGTTGTACTCTGTTCTAGACATGAGTAAATGGACCATGTAGGTCGGGAGCAGAACAAAGACTGCAGTTAAAGAGTCAGTCATTTAAATTTAGGAGCAAAATAAAAAGGACAAGAAAGTAACAACTTCGGAGACATGCACTCACCTTCTGAAACACGTTGTGCAGCTCCTGCAGGGATGGTCGCACAGCCCGGTGACCACTCACACTGCCTGCATTGCGATAGAAGTCAATGTTGGGCACGCGGTCCAAAGTGTCGTGACCAAAGGCGCTGACCACCGAGGGCCGGACCGTCCGGTGGTCAGCCTCCTGGTACACGGGGGGTTCATCCAGAGTGGAGTCAAAACCGGGGTTATCGCGTTCCCCGCCGACAGACCTGTGCCTCTCCATCAGGAAGGTTGACTTCAGAAGTCAAAAATCAAACTGCAGTGTGGGTCTTCAGTCATCCAACGGGGTTTTAAGAGAGCCGAGTGCCGTATCAACAAGCGCCGTTGTCCTTGTTTATTGACGTATGAACTGGGCTATAGTTAGACTTCTAGAGATCTCGTCTGCTGCTCTGAGCTTCTTGTGCGTAAGATCAGTTTGTCTAGGATGGCCTACCTTTATACCCTGCATCCCATGGTCATACACTGGCTGCCAGCTATTGGCCAACTCTCTGGATCAACCCTCAGAAAAACAGAATGAGGGGTGTCAGATATGTCCTTGCCCCATCCTAGGGGACACAAAGACGTTGCTTAACGATTAACCAAGTCATAAACACCAAACGAGAGATAAAGGCTCTCATTGCCTTTGCTTCTGGAGAATTGATTACTAATATTATTGTCTGAAGTGCAGGGCAACAGCACACGTTGTCTTGTGGTGTCTTTTTATGGGTCTATGGGTCTATTTCCTCAAACATGTGGGCCTTTTGAATGAATCACCAGGACACATCCACATGGAAGTTCCCACTGGAGGATGCCAACCAAGTAGGAAAGATTTCAAGGTTAAGCTCACTTTAAGATGTGTATCCCTGTGGCTGAAAAATGAGCTAGTAAGGTGTAATAGAACAAATATATAATTCATAACCCAAGTAGTTAGTAAAGCCAGTTAATATGACACCATGAATTACAGGAACACGCCACAGGACTTCTAAGGACTATAAAGTACTTTTTAATAGCTAAACTTCCTTATTAGGGACAAACAGTGATTTATGCACACAGTGAAAGGCAGGCTAATGACTGGAGATCTGACCTTCGGTGCACTGGAGGCTGACAAAAATACTCCAGCGCATGTTTTTATGTGCAGATTGAAAGGAGACAATCAATTTCGCAATGTTTATCCCGTTTGGAACACAGTGGCTCAACGCTGTTCTGGTTTTCTACAACAATGGACATCTTTCCACTCTGAATGTAATGCACAGCCCTCTTCTCACTTTCTTCAGATTTCATCAGATTTGTGATTTTAACTGGTAATAATTATCTTTAGCACTGTGTAAAAACGTGCAGTGGTACAGTAGTGCATGTACTTACTTTCCACCAATGCATGTTTTGTTTTAATTATTAGTCCTGGTGGACTTCTGTCTGCTGTGCTTGAGTAAATTCAGAGTTTGCAGTGCTCCTCAGAGACGGTTGAATCTGTGGCAGCAGGTGCATTTGCTCCGGTTTGTACAGAACAAGGGAATCATGTCCAAAGTGCTCCAAAGAGGCAAAGCAAAATCCCTGTAATGGATTTAGCCAACTGTACTTTGCTCACTGCAATAAGACAAAGTGCAGATACCGGCAGACAGGAATGTTCTACTGATACTAAAGGGCTGCAATGAATGAAAGGTTGGGTATTAATCTCAACTACATATACTCCACTCAGCCACTTAATTATATCTGTCAGTCAGATAAAGAATGAAATATCCCCATCAAATATGATCTACTCTGCTGTGTTTGCTATTATTATTGAGATCAGACAGTATTTCTACTCTGAAATTTTAGATGAGGGGGGTGGCAGGTCGAACAAAGATCTCTGGGTGGTGGGGTGGTGCTATAAACCTGCAGACACCAAATTTATTAAGTGCAAAACTAACTAACTAACTGAGTCACTGGTTCACTGTCATTTCATTGTGTTGAAAAAAATTATATTGTTTTTGAGTATTTTTAACAAATTTAATTTAATTTAATTTAAATCTAATACGAGACTCTTTAATACGAGACTCTGGACACGCTGGTTGCTTTTTCACATGCAAGTTAGTTAGTCGGCTCTCAGGTAACGGTGCTAACAGACCTAGCAGAGCTAACGGAGCCGGCAGCGCTAACAGAGCTAACAGAGCTAACAGAGCTGGCAGCTCTAAAAACGCAAACTATGGCAAACGAAAACGGAGGGAAGAGCAACTTCGTTCTTTGCTCGGATAGAAAATCATTACACTATATCTTTCTGCACTGAAAGTTACATTACATTACAGGTCATTTAGCAGACGCTTTTTATCCAAAGCGACTTACATTACACTTATAACCCACGGCTTTTCACATTTTGCCCAGGGAGCAATTAGGGGTTAGGTGTCTTGCTCAGGGACACTTCAACATGGAACATGGGGCAGCCTGGAATTGAACCAACAACCTTGTGCTTCCCAGCACACCTTCTCTAACCCCTGCGCCACGACGACCCCACAAGTTGAATGCTTCTTTGAAGAAACCTGCAATAGAAAAAGCCTTATAGTAAATGGAGTCCCGAAGCGCTTTAGCATTAGCCTACCTGCCATCATTCACCCAGTTCCACCCATTCACACAATGATGACAGGAGCTACCATGCAAAGTGCCACCTGCCCACCAGTAAATAACGTTCACGCCATTCAAACAGTAATCACAGCTACGGGAGCAACGGTGGGGTTAAGTGTCTTGTGCCCAAGGACACTCGGTTAGCAGGGCCTGTGATCAAACCGCCTCTCCACTCACCCGCAGTCACCCCATGGTAAAATGTCATTTAGATTCATTCAAAAGTAAATTATTAAACATTTTGGCTTTATTATCATTAATAACTGACATGAAACTTTAATAAATGTTGTGTTAGGTAATCATTGACCTTTTCCTCCTTTAGAGGTTTTCAATACGGTAAAAGTCTGTCAGGAGGGCTAAGATTTACCGCTCATTTCAGAACAGGGTTACAGCGATTAGAGAAGTAGTCTGAGTTCCTTACAATTACTGTATCTTACAGAGTTTGGATGGCTAGTTATAGAAAGGCATACTCTATCTGCTGGTCTTATCACAACAAATCAAGGACATAGCTTGTGAGGTCCGAAGACCACAAGTTATAAAACTGCTCATTGATAATCTGCAAAACGAAAGGTACAATATTCATCTTAGTCATTAGTCCTACACTATGTAACAAGGAGTTCGTGCTACAGTAGTGTCCTAGTTTCTCTGAAGTATAAATATTTCTTATCATTTTTATTGCTCCTGACATCTTTTTGTTGTTGTTGGGTGCAGAAGAATGTAAAACGTTCTCAGAATTTTTCCCTTTATTTGCAAAGATGAGTCATTTGTCTATCTTGGTTCCAATCACAGAAGGGAAGTGATCAGTATTTTACCTATGAAGATTCAATGCAAAGTAGCACATTTGTTAAAATGTAATAGATTTACAACCCCCAGTCGGGTTAGTTATTTTCCTTAGGGAAGTGGGCTTCTAGACCAGGGTGCAAAGGACTGTGTTTTTTTCCACTAAAAATAGATTTCAGATAAGGGTGTCACACAGGTGACTGAGACAATGGTGCGATAATGATCACGTTCGTAACGACTAAAGTGTGTTGAGTGTGAACATGACCTGCCTTATCACCACGGGACCGTATCGTGTGTGCACATACATACACACACGATAAGCTCCTTGTATTCATTCCGGGATTGTTAAAATTTGGATTGTCTGGATTTGTGTTGCTCAAGCGCACACACTTGCTTCCTCTCGGTCTGCTGCCGCAGCGACGTTGGACAGCTACGGGCATAGTTTAGAATTAGAGAAGATATCAAGGCATCGACTTTTCCTGAAGCCAAGACTGCCCCATAGAGCATCACGGCAGTTTATAAAATCACACACGAGCACATTTTACTGGACGTGTTCTGCAGATTGCAATAAAAGGGCCCTCAAAAAAAACAAAGATTCGATATTTCAAATTGAAGTTTAATCAAAACTAAATCTACTAGCTGAACAAGCAGGTCGGGAGACGTCCTCATGATATGCCACACACACACACACACACACACACACGTGCACGCACACACACACACACACACACACACACACACACACACGTGCATGCACAGGTGCTCTACTGTTTCTAGATGAAGGCACATTAACCCATTGAAGGTCACAGTAAGGCAGATTCACAGCACTAAGGAGAAACCGTAGACCATTTAGCAAAACACTCAAGTCTTTCACCTGTCTGCCTTATTACAGGATCTCTTTTTTTTAATAAATGCCTTGTCCTCCTCTGTCTGGAAGGAGGTAAGTAAATGAGAAAGGGTGAGGATGGCAGAGAATTTGGACGAAAAAAAAGATGTTCACGTCCGGCGCTGACAGATATTCCACCCACGTTTTCCTTGTGACCTTTTCCTCTTACAGGTATAGTAAGAGTTTATCCCTGTCGGATAGAAAATAGCAGCGCAGAGTGAGTGAGTCCTTCCCGGTTTTCAACCCTCATATCCCTTAAAGGTTCTTTGGCTTTGTTGCATCGGCCAACTATTTCAACAGAATGCTTGACAGCCGGAATAAATGACAGTCCATAAATCCACATCATCGTATTCTTTCCGGACACACTATCTTGAGTAAACAGCTTGTACTTTTGTATAATGTTTGCATTATTTAGAAACAGTAACATCATAATGTTAATCACAGGTGGTCGAGTTGCCTTTCATGATGCGATGGAAAGGACCCATCTTTACACATAAGGTATCTTGTCCCTGAGTCTTCAAAATGCATCTGAATAATCTCACTTTGCGGCCTAGTCCCACCACCTCTATCCACAGACATTCCAACTGTGGGTACTAGTTAAAGGGAGATTCAGTCAATTTTGTGTAAGTCCATGAGTTGAGAAACACACACCCCTCGCAGAGGGGAAAATAATATGAAACAGCTGTGCATCTCACTCACTCAGATACACACAAAAACAAACATCTACTCTCACAGAGACTCCATACTGGATGTGAACTGCACGCCCGCTGGACAACACACAGGCTTCAGTCTCCGGGTGCGGCGGTCCGTCATCGAGTAATGTTGTGTCACGTGCTATGGTTGCAATGCTTGTGCAGAGCTGTGTCTTGCGTGTGTCTGCGTGTGTATATATATATACTGTATGTCTGTCTGTGGCTGTTTCCGTTCATGAGGACATGTGTGTGTCCCCGTGTTAGGTAAGGGCGTACTCAAACGTCCCTTTCTCCAGCCCCTCGACGCCATCAGCCCAGTTGGAGGAAGGCATGCTGCTGTAGGGATCCAGCAGGATCCTGAAACACCTCACTATCAGCAGCCCCAGGAACACCAGCAGCATCCCCACAAAGGCAAACGCCGTCTTCTGCTCCAGAGTCAGAGAGTGCGCCATCATGTCGTTTCCGCTCATGGCAGCAAGGGTGTGGTTATAGTGGACGCTGCACATGGTAAACCAACATCCGGGCGCTTCATCTCTCCTCGGATGGGGTCAGGCGTTTCGAAGCCTGCATGTTACCTGGACAGAGATCACGTGAGGGCTTCAGATGGGTGCCGTCTTGTCTCCTCTGCTGCGAGCATCAGTTTAATCAACCTTTTAAAATGACCACGTGTAACGCATACACTTCCACGACAAAATGAGCTGATGGACATGTGAAGAGTTAAAGGTAGCTATAAATAGCTTCTTTTGAATGTGGTATCAAGCAGAAGCCTGAGACTTTGATCTCTCTGCCTCACTCCGCTCGAGTGTGTGTGTGGGGGGGCGGCGAGCGGAGCGGGGGGGGGGGACTGCAGGAAAATGGGTTCAGTGATATGAGCCAATGGCAAGGCTACATCCCTTTAAGTCGGGTTGGAATTACATCTGTCGCAGTGCATAGTCAGCTGTACAACACGGGTGCAAAAGCAGCAAGGTGTCAATGGAAACGATGCGATGTGATGTTATGTATGTCTGTTATGGACGAGAGGGCTCTTTACCTGTTGCATGCAAGCAGATGACTGCCAGACAGCGTAATTCCATCCGACCAAAAGGCGACAGGGATTGACCAAACATAGTCAGGAAATTGGTGTAGTCACACAATCTGAAGTCTGGAACTGTCATTATTTTCCTCCTTAATCCTTCATATGAACCCAAGCAGCAGGTGGCTCGGGTGAGAGGGGGGGGTTGGATGAGAGAGGGAGGGGGGAATGTACAGAGAAAATTGGGATAGACGGATGAGGGAGAGGCAAGTGGGCTGATGAGCAGGACGCTGCACAAGTATGCGTGGTGAGAGAGTGAAAGAGGAGAGAGAGGGAGGGAGGGAGAGACAGAGAAAGACAGAGACTGCATGGACAGATTCTCGAGTGGGGATATCTGTGGGAGAAAAAGGAAGCATCTCACCTTCATTATTGTTCCATCCTCACAGACCTGTTGCTGCTGTTCCTTTTAAACAACTCCTCTTCCTTGCAGCCCTCATATCCATTAGTCCGTCCATTACCACACGCTTCATGTGCAGGACTGACTTCCCGTCCAAACAAATAGCTAAAGAGATAAAGAGAGAAACGGGGAAGCGAGGGAGGTGCTGGATCGAGCTATGATATGTGTCGCTCCTCAGAGATGCGGCTCCTCAACTCGTGCTCCCCATACTTGCCGCCTCCTATTCATTATCATTCTGTTTCTCTATCTCTCTCCCTCCAGAAGCAGGGACGCCTGCTCCTGCTGCATGGCAACCACTTGTTAGTCTCACTCCACTGCTCTGCTGCCTCAGTCATTCACAACGTTCCCCTCTTCAGCAACACCGGGGCGGGATGCAGCAAAAAAAGACAAAAAAACAAGCAAACCGCCTCTGCTTTTTATTTTCGCCTCACGCTCCCCATCCCTGGCTTTATATTTGGCTTTTCTAAAAAAAAAAAGAAAATGACTCCACAAAAATGTGACAGGAACAACAAATGGTGCCTCCCACCGCTGCTGCTTAGCAAATGTTGGTGCAGAGGTAATTGTGGTACATGACAGCATTATCCCCCGAGCCCGGTTTCATGATGTGTTTTTAAATGCCGCAGTTTGCTGTGGTCAAATTGAATCAGTCCCTTCTGCTTAAAGGCTTACGGGACTAAGCTCCCTGCAGTTTCTATCACTGTGGGTTTCACGGCTTACAGGTGGTTCAGAGAGGTCCATTTTCTTTTCTTTATTTGGCTGTAGGCAGCAGGAACAAATCCCTGAGAGGAAATAACCTTCCTCGAAATTCGTTCCCGCCAAACTTTTATTTTTCTTTCTGTCAGCAGAAATGTTCTGGTCCTGCTGTGCGTTTAATACTCGGCTGTGCTCGGGTAGAAATAGTGCCGGTGTGACCCCATGTGATTTGTCAAATGAGTCAGCCACTCAATTTTATTTCCCATTTACTTCAAGGACATTTCTTGCAAAAGTGTACAGACTGTACAGATGGTACAGGCTGCTGCACCTTCGGTACAGTTGCTGTACAGCCAATAGAACCGTTTTACAGTTTACCCTGTTGCCCTCATCAGTATAAAAGATACGGTCAACATGATTGAGCTGTTGTATAAATTCCCAGTGCACTAGTGTGGGGGTTCCCAGTAATGAGCTCACATTACAGACATTGTGAAATGGAAGTAATTAGTAGAGAGGATTCCCTTTGTGGGAAAATAAATAAACATTCAATGACATATTAGGAAATGTCCTTCTGAATTGCCTTTATCAAGTGTTTTTTTCACATGAGTGCCAAGGTGTGCTGATGTGCTTTGGACTCTTTTGGCTCAGGGAGAGGACCTGTTAAGGTAATCTGCACCTTATTTGTAATCTACAAATAATAGCCAGCGTTCATAGGACATAATGATAAAGAGGTTTTTATCTCGGACGGACAGCAGACCAAGAGCCAAACTGATATTGAGAACTGTAATACAGTGATTCAGCAAATTGCTCTAAAAGTACTCTGCGTTAATGTTAATGAACTCCACGCATCTGCACAACAAATACAATAATCTGCAATATTGCTATTAAAGACATATTGCCAAGATGATGTGCGTATACAGCTGTTGTTGCCAATGAAGCTATAAAAAAACATCTTTAAAAATGTTTTACTGCCACTTTGTGTTATTGCGCCATTAAAAATTATTTTAAAAAATGAACTTAATGGATTTTTTTTGCACTAAAGAGAACCTAGACTTCTTAAAGTGGAAAAACATTTGAGTCTTGCATGTTTTTTAGGACGCCAATACGATGAGAAGGTTTTAATAACTAACGACCCATCCAAAGGTTTATTTGGGTTTATATAAAGAATGAAAAGAATGCGGTGAGCTACTCAGAAAGTTCCATTCCAGTTTAGGGAAGCTTCACAATCCTACTACAATAACAACTAGCAATAAAGTAGATATCATATCAGTTTATTGACCTGGTTTTACATTAACAGAGCAATATTTGTTATATGTTGAAGGTTAAGTTATATGTTACCTGATCTCTGATTGTAATTAATAGATATTGACTTATCAGTAACATCCTTAAAAAATATATTATATATATATTTTCTAAAGTGACCCATTTGCACCTATCATTTTTTAATACACAAAAGCATGCAGCAAAACTAAGCAACTGAATCAAGACATCCATATTAAAAAATTAAGTTGGAAACATACCGTTTGAAAAATGTGAGACAAACACTAATCCAACGTTACCTTTATATCGGTTAGACTGCCCCATGGGAGGACTTGCTTTGATGCATTGCTCAACGTGTCAAATGTGTAAATAATAATCATGCAGCATAAAACTATGATTATTTAATTAATGTTGTAGTCTTTATGTCTCAAACAACGTTTAACAATTAGCCAGTGGTCGGCTTTCTAGCTGTAAAATCAACTTTTTTGAATTGAAATTGTTTGTTTTGGTGATAGAACCTGCACAAACTTGCAGAGCAGATTCTCTTAAACATTAAAGCACATTCTACAGAAAATATAATTATTCCACCCATGGAGTAAAAGTCCTTTAGTTGCCAGAATGATGCAATGGTGTGGCTTGTAATGCATCATTAGTTTTCAGGGACTTACAGGTTTCTAGACCAGGATGCAGACATCAGTCAAACACTCGTGCATGCATTAGGACTCTCTTCACTTGCTGATCCCTGATACAGTGTCTGCCGAACTGGGGACAATAATGGGCTCAATATATTCAAATATTTTCAAATTATTTTTGCCAACACTACAATCGTGCTTCACTCATATAAGCTGTTATAGACACCCAGGCTGCCATAGCAACAGCTTAGTTCTAAATCTCGCGTTGGAGGCAAAGTCTCGCATCGCATTTTGAACTGCGTAGCAACGGGGGCACCTTGCGTTGCGTTTGGGAGAACAAACCTCAACATGTCAGATGTTATAATTATTGACGAGGAGCCGACCCAAGAGGAATCTACCGCATCCGTCAAGTCTGAGGAGACGTCCGAAGAAACACCCAATGGCGTGAAAACGTGAGTGACAATGATGTGCCGTGTGAGCATTTGTTAGCCACCTGAGATAAAATGGAGTCCTGTGATGCTAGCTAGCTATTGTTAGCCAAGATGCGACCTCAGGTTACGTTGTTGCTAATCATGTTGTTACCACGAAGTACCATCGTATTGTTTTTTCGGTTCGTGGCTAACATTACGCCAAAGTATGCTGTGTAATGTTTTACCCACTAAAAGGAGAGCCGAGGTGATACGCTGTTTTACGTAACATGAATCAACCATTAACGGTGCTGGGTGCTAATCTCTGTTGTTAGACGTTAGCTGAACATCATTCTGAGATGGTAATGTCAGCGGCAAATTAACGTCACTCATCTTCAATCAACTAACTAATCATACAAAAATTCAATTGAAGTTAGCTGTATGAATCTAATAGCCATTGTTGTTGTTGTTAGAGTTTCTGTAAATCTCTGCTCAGTGTTTCGTTGTGTCTGAAGCTAACTGCCAATGGCACTGTGATGCTGCACTGCAAGCTAGCCATGCTAGCGTTAGCTAGTGTAACCATAGGAGACGACTCACATCTCCCATACATCCTTGTCAGAGCCGATAAAATGTCTTGAATTTCTAATAATAAACAATTCTAGACTAATAAAAGAGAATGCTTTCCACCTGCAATAATGTAACTGATTATACATAATTAGATGTACTTGTTTGTTGTTTGTTTACAGTAACGTCGCAAATATGTATTTTCTCCCATCAGAATAATAGGTTCTGTCAGATAAATAATTTTTTAATTTTTCTTACGTTCCTGAACGTTACATAATCTTCTTGACAGATGAAGAAATGCAACCATATAGTTTCAACTGAACTTTTACTGAGTGTTTTGAGATGGCTGTTGTCTGACTTTTCGCTTTATTTTGTAGGGATGCAGAAGAAACCAAGCATCCCAAAGAAAAGCACGATGCTAAAGAGAAGGCCTCTGGGAGCAGAAGAGCGAACCGCTTCCATCCCTACAAAGACAAACATGGGGGAGAAAAGAAGGGTGCTCATAGGAACCGGGTGTTCATCAGCAACATCCCCTATGATATGAAGTGGCAGGCGATTAAAGATCTAATGCGGGAGAAAGGTAATGTCCCCATGGATGGGGATGGTGTCTCCATTCTCTCGATCACTTCAGCTGATACAAATTTCTACCCCTTTTCCCTTTTTCACTAGGTGTTGCATCCTGCTTGTAGCAGTAGTCAATTAGTTTGTAGCTTTCTGCTGGATGTACTTCTCGCACATAGCAGGGAACCAACATTGTGTGTTACTAGGTGATTGGTGTTTTAATACTTTTTTTTGCGATGGAGACCAATTTAGTTTGGGCTGATATGTCTGTGAGAAATGGAAGATGAATTCCGTTACATTGTCACTGGTTTTTGTGGCCTTGTTAGCTCCAAAATGTAACCTCAAACCAGTAGTAGAATTGATTGTTGAATGATTTTGTTGCATCTGTTGCAAGGTGACCCTTGATGATATCAATCAAAATATTGTTATGTTCTACCTTCTGAATTACGGGGCCTCAACATGCCTTTTTAAAAGCCCAAAGGACAGCTTAAAACTCAACTGCCATGAATGGAATCTGTTGACAAACTGATAATGTTGAAGTCTTTTGAATTTCCCAGGTTTAATGTAGCTGTGTTTCTCTCTGGCCTTGGCCTTTGGGTGTCTCAGTCACTGCCCAGAAAGGCATGGTGTTGTCTGGTGGGATGTTGGTCTGGGCTGACTGTTGATCATTAATGGGACATCTCCATCTGTAGCGGCATTGCCAAGGCCGACGGCAACTTGACGACTCGGTGACTTAAATTACTTTTGTTCTTTTGGTATTTTTCCTTTTGTATGTCTCATGTAGTTGGTGAGGTTACATACGTGGAGCTCTTTAAGGATGCAGAAGGAAAGTCAAGGGTAAGTGATGTGGCCAACTTGCTGCACGAGGTTTTAAATGCCCTCAGCAGGCTCTCATTAATCAAGTGCTCTTTTAGGTTCTGATCCTTTGGGTCTTACTAAGTTACTGGAGTTACTGTAGGTTGTGTTTAGAGCCTGATAGTTGGCTAAAGCTTGATACTCATTTGAAAGGGAGATGTCCTGTTGATTTTGGAAAAGTAGCCTAATGAACTCACATGAGTGCACTTTTGCTTCTGTTGTTGTTATTTCAAATGGTGTAAAAGTTTGTTTGTTTGGCCATTTTCCAAAGGAGAATGTGGGTTGTGTGATTTGTCCTATTGATTGACCCTCGTCTCAAAATCTTATTTTATAATTCTGTTATATGGCACAGCTCTCTTCAAAGGAACAAAATAGCCTTGAATGATCCAGTCGTGCCCTTTTTAATTCTGTTTCTGTATTGAACATGTATATATATATGTGTATACTACACATGTAAAGAAGAGTACAGCGTTTCTCTTTACTGCTGTGGTAATACTGGTCAATCCTAAACATTGTACAAAATACACTTGTTATTGTAGTTCCTTAAAATGCTCCCATGATATTTGTGTCTAGTTCAAAACATAAAATGTTCTGTTATGGTACCTGTTAGTGGTAAATGTTGTCAACAAAACTTA